AATAGAGCGGAAAAGTAATGTGAAGGACCTGGGTGTGGTATGTCCGAAGACCTCACCTTCAAGGACCACAACAATGCCATTATCACATCTGCTAGGAAACTGATAGGATGGATAAGATAAGATAAGATAAGATTTTGTTCGGATTTTTAACCCCGGAGGGTTAGCCACCCAGGATAACCCAAGAAAGTCAGTGCGTCATCGAGGACTGTCTAACTTATTTCCATTGGGGTCCTTAATCTTGTCCCCCAGGATGCGACCCACACCAGTCGACTAACACCCAGGTACCTATTTGCTGCTAGGTGAACAGGACAATAGGTGTAAGGAAACGTGTCGGAATTTCCACCCGCCGGGAATCGAACCCGGGCCCTCCGTGTGAGAAGTGGGAGCTTTAGCCACCAGACCACCGGGCCACCCACCAGACCACCGGGCCACTGAGAACATTCAAGACAAGAGATGCTAAGCCAATGATGATCCTTTTTAAATCACTTATTCTTTCTAGGCTGGAATACTGTTGTACATTAACATCCTCATTCAAGGCAGGTGAAACTGCAGAACTAGAGAATGTAGAGAACCTTTACTGCACGTATAAGTTCCATCAAACACCTTAACTACTGGGAGCGCCTGGAAGCACTTGACTTGTACTCACTAGACCGCAGGCGAGAGAGATGTATCATAAGCTACACCTGGAAGATTCTGGAGGGATTGGTCCCTAATATGCACACAGCAATCACTCCATACGAAAGCAAGACTTGGCAGGCGATGCAACATACCCCCAGTGAAAAGTAGGGGCGTCACTGGTACACTAAGAGATAACGCAGTAAGTGTCCGGGGCCCAAGACTGTTCAATAGCCTCCCACCAGCAATAAGGGGCATTACGGGAAGACCCCTGGTTGTCTTCAAGAGGGAGCTGGACAGATACCTAAAGACGGTGCCGGATCAGCCGGGCTGTGGTTCGTACGTTGGATTGTGTGCGGCCAGCAGTAACAGCCTCGTTGATCAGGCCCTGATCCACCGGGAGGCCTGGTCGTGGACCGGGCCGCGGGGGCGTTGATCCCCGGAATGCCCTCTAGGTAGGTAACAGCTCTTAGCTTGCCAATAAAGTTAGGAATCCCTAACCTGTAAATAGCTTGTCAGTAAAGCTAGGGATCCTTAACTAACCTTCTCAAACTCTGTGTAAAAAAAAAAAAAAAAAAAAAGTAGACTCCAGGTAGTCTGTAAACCACTATCCCTCAAGGAAGGTTCCTTGATGTTGGTGAGGGGCTCTTGATTTAGGGAATTGGATCTGTGCTCCAGTTCCCCGAATTAAGCCTGAATGCCTTCCACATCCCCCCCCAGGCGTTGTATAATCCTCCGGGTTTAGCGCTTCCCCTTGATTATAATAATAATAATAATAATAATAATAATAATAATAATAATAATAATAATAATAATAATAATAATAATAATAATAATGTAAACCACTAAATTTAGATTGCCCGTGATGCCAAGGCATGATAGTGGCTCTCTTTGCACTACAAATCATTATTGTAATTACACACTTTAAACACTCTTATTGTAAACTTGAATTTGAATACGTGTAGTGTAAAATACAGTACATGGCATCTTCACCAGCTGTCACTGGGATGAGACGCTCAGTTACCCTTGAACCCTTGAGTGCGGTGTTTGCTGCTCAGAGCCATACCTATTCTGCCTGTATTTCTATTACTTCAAGCTTGAATCATGCCGAAAGCCAAGGGTATAAGCAGGAAATGGAAATTACAGTTGAGTGTGGCAAGGTCGAAGCGGAGAATTGCTAAACGAAACTTTCATGTAGGTGGAGAGAGTAACAAGGAAGAGAACACTGAGTCTTGTCCTGCCGCCATTACTTGTGGTGTCCCTAGTGTTACTACCTCTCTACCTCTGCTGTCTGAACCTGATGATAATGAGTCCTTCACTGAACATCTGTTGAAATCAAACATAAGGAAGCATAAACTTAGACAGAGACAACGTTCCTCAAATGTTGAAGACATTGATGTTTCCACTGATGTTTCCTCTGTAGATACGTGTTTATCTGACCTTGAACTTGATAACTTACCAGTGAGTGAACCCGTGCCTTTTATATCACGACTGTCAAGGCATGACGTTCTTTCTGTGACTTTCGCCGACACAGACGGTGAAAAAGAGAACGAAGTGCCAGAAGCAACACCTGCCAGTGAAACACCTGTGGTAACACCTATGAACAGTGCCACAAAACGTGTATCATATCCGAGTCCAGCAGTGGAAGTTTGCCATGATGAATATGTGGTAATTAAAAAGAAATCTTTTGAACAGGTTGTAATAAAGAATTGTCCCGATTGTTTGAGTAAAAAGGTAAAAGTTGAGTTTACCAAACGTCACCTTGAAACATTTGTGACAGTAGAGTGTGAAGAATGTGAAGTAAAATGTGATGAAGAACCTCATACAGTTCATGAACTAAATGGTTTTACATGTCTGAGTGTTTATGGTGAAATGCTTCGTGGTGGTGGTTACAGTTCCTTCTCTAGAGCTAATGCACTCAAGACATTTCCTGTACTGAACTCTCACCTCTACCAACAATATGCAGAAAACATTACGAAGCTGGCAATAGAAAAATGTGAGAAAATCCTTGAACAATCTCGTAATATTGTACGTGATGAATACGGAAAATTAGGACAAATGCCAAATGAGGTTGGCATTCTACCTGTGAATGTGACATACGATGGCACTTGCCATACCCGAGGTCATGATTCCAATCTTGGGTTAGGAGTTGCCATTGATGCGGAAACCAAACTTGTGCTTGATTATTTTGTGTTATCCAAATATTGTTCTCGCTGTAGTGTATTGAAAACACTATTAGATAAAAAGAAAATAACTCAAATAAAATATGATACTGAAAGGGTAAAGCACAGTCCCAAATGTGCGAAAAATTACAGTGGCACTTCCGACAATATGGAAGTGGAGGCCGCAAAGATACTGTGGCCAAGATCACTTGATTATAATATGCGGTTTGACGTGATGGTGAGTGATGGTGACACTGCAACTTTCACAAATCTGAAAAATATGAATAATGGGGACGGACCTTATCCTGGTGTTAAAGTTACAAAAGAAGAGTGTATAAATCATTTCTCAAAAAGGCTGAAGCATCGTTTGGGACAACTTGTAAAAAATGCTTATAGTGAAAAATTGCTAGAGTCAGGAAAAAAAGGTAAACAGTTTTCATTGAGAGGCAAGGACAGCCTAACAGATGCAACGATACACAAGCTTGCATCATACTTTGTTAATAATATCAGAAAACACATGAATGCTGATGTAAAATCGATGAGAAATGGTGTGCTAGCAAGCTTATATCACTGCATTTCTACAGACGAGAAACCACAACATCACTTATGTCCTGTAGGAGCTGACTCGTGGTGCTTCCATCAGAGAGCAACCTCAAATAACGAGACACCACCATCACACAATACAATGGAAGTCAGACTTCGTCTAGAACCGGAGGACGAAGCTGCTGTCAAGAAAATATATGAAGAGCTAACCAGTGAAGAAATGATGCTGTGTCTGAAAGGATGCACCCAGATTACAAATAAAAGTTTGCATCAACTCGTCGGAACTTACTGTCCTAAGACAATATACAAAGTGAAACGTGATTTAGACTTTGCATCGGCAGTTGCTGTTAGTGAATATAATGCTGGGTATGAGAAATCGTGTCTAGACACCTCATTTGGCTTAAAACGCTCTTCAGTAACACAACAGAAACTGCGACAATTGGACGCAAGAATGCAATTGCCGCAAGGACATCAAAGGAAAAGAATTGTGAAGGACACTTCATATGTGCCTGGTGGTTATTAGGCACAATATACACTTTCTTCACCTTTGTAAATAGTAAGTAATTATTTTGTAATGTGCATGAAGAAAAATTCTATATATAAATATATATTTATTTTATTTATTTATATTTATATTTATTTTATTTATCTATTTTATTTTATTTATTTATATTTATTTTATTTTATTTATATTTTTAATTATTTTTATTTATATTTATTTTTTATTAGTATAATAATATATAGTCATAATATAATGATGCCAGAATTATGTAATATCCATTGTTTGACATTCTTGTAATGCATAATATTCAATGTCACCCTGACATTTTTTGGGTTATCCTAGGTTACTTACATATTATGCTAAGTATATTTTTTTTTTTCGATTTTCCTTTCTGGTTGCCATTTCCATGTTCTAGAGAATCCTGTATGATGTTTTCAACATTGTTCTTGGCCAAATGATGTTCCATAGACATAAATCAAAATTTTGGGTTTATCTCATTTTTCTCTAAAGTAAGTTATTCTCCTTCAAATTATTTTCTTCACTTATTTGTGCATATAATGACATGATAGTTGCACCACAAATTATTCAACAGTTATTGTTTTACAAACATGCAGGGGGGATTTGCAATAGCCTTTACCATTTTTGTTTTATTTATTTTAAAATAATACAAAAAAAATTTCAGAATTTTTCCCAGATAGAAGATTTGGACATTTTGAAAAATTACATTGGTATTGGGTTATTTAGCCTTTCATTATTCATGTAAAGTCAACTATGTCCTTTCATATCAAACCCAAATTGCAAAAACAGGCTGAGAGTAATGCCATATAAAACATGAAATATATATACATGTATACTACATGTATACGTATGTATATTTTTTTTAATTCTTTTCAGGCAAACTTCATAGAACTTCCAGTATAAATGTCTCAGGGGCTTCCTAACATACTGTAAAAATTTCAATAAAATTGGAGTAAAAAAAATTCTTTCATTCTCTCCTTCCTTAACTCTGGGTGTATCTACACCTTTTTTTTACTAGTCTAAGAGAATTTCATACTTTTTAGCAAATCTTATGACAAAACAGTTACATGGACAATTCTCATAACTTTCTTGTTTCTGTTGCAACTAGGAGTTATTAAATTATACATGTCAATAGACTTGTGTATTTTTCCTGTCATTAGACAGCAGGGCGGGAGGATGAAGCCCAGCAGACAGCTACTGACTATGCCCTCCGTCGCCGCCTACACCAGGAGACTCGAGCCAGGGATGAACTACAGTGGCAGAAGGAGCGCCTCCTGGAGGAGATACGTGCTCATGAGAAAGAAGTATGTGTGTGTGTATTCGCCTATATGTGGTTGCAAGAGTTGAGCCTCAGCACCTGGCCCAGCCTCTTTGCTAGGCCTCTTTACTAGGCTCTCACTCTCCAGGTTTCGAGAATCTTATCGTACTTCATAAAGCTGTGTATGGATCTTGCCTCTACCACATCACTCTCTAGGTTCCATTTTCTGACTACACTAATGCTGAAGAAATACTTCCTAACATCCCTGTGATTCATCTGAGTTTTCAGCTGCTAACCGTGCCCTGGTTTACCTGTTTCCCATCTTTCAAACCAGTGTTATTATTATTATTATTTCAACAAACTGGCCATATCCCACCCAAGCAGGGTGGCCCAAAAAGAAAAAAAAGTTTTTTTCAATTTTAGTAATGTATACAGGAGAAGGAGTTACTAGCCCCTTGCTCCCGGCATTT